TACTTGAACACGAATAGAATTAAACATTACTAGATTAATATGATGAAACAATTAAATCACATTAGTTTTAATAATATTTTTCGTATCATTGTACAATATGACTGCAAGAAACCAGTATTGTGGATAAATGAAAACCTAATAACAATAATCAAAATAATAATGTATAACTCTCAAACACTTAAAAAAATTACCGAAAATAATCTTCACGAATACTGCAGTATTTTAAGAGTGGTTTACATGTACTATATAACAGTTCCTTATATACCAAGAATATTTGAAAAAGTGGCTGTTGCATAACGTGACATGTCAATAACAAGTAATCAATAGCAGGCGGCCTATTTCTTGAAGTCTTGCTGTCACTTGATGTGTTTGTAAGTAGTGATGCACCTAGTGTGTTAATTCGGTCTGGACGCGCAGTACGAAATTAGTCGGAATAACTCAATCAAATATTTGCATTTTCAGTCAATATCGAAACTGTTTCATTGTTTTTGGATTTTTCTCCAGAACCGGAGCATCTGTGGAAACAGTAAACACCTCACATATGGAAGCTGCATAGTTTCTTCAAATTTCTGCGCGCAACAAATTATAGTTCATCAGTGGCCTAACCCAATTCGACCAATCAGAACTGGCCAATGACGTCTCGTGCACAAATAACCACTGCCTAAAACACTGAAGTAAATAAGGTTGCAGGGAATTTTTGTAAATGTTTACGGTTAAAATTTTTTCTTCTTTTGAAATATGTTGACCATAATAAGTTCTCTATTGCCCCATACATTGTTTTAATATTTTTAATAGTTTTCTTGCAATTGTTGAGAAAAATATGTGTATTATACAAAGTACGATTTTCTAAAAAGAAGACTCCAATAATTTGTTGTAGACCTTGTGGATAAGAGCACTGAATACGAGAAAATGTGCGTGATTTTCGTGTATTCTTTTTTTAAAATTCTTTTTACAGATATTTTTTTAAAATATTTCTCACGTCGTGTATATTTACATTCGGGCGTTTTTTCACTTTGAATTTGTAAGTAAAGGCATCAAAAATTTCTTTTGAACTTTCTCGAAAACTTAAACGTTTTCTGTTTATATGACCTTTACATTTTTCAAAATGTGAAGAAACGACCTTTAAGCGCCAGTATCTCGCAGCTGGCAAAGAGATGTGGCAAAACCAAAACGCTAGCTCAGAGTGAAGAGATTGGGAATCTAATTAGTTGGAGGAAGTCTGTGCCATTGTGTAGCACCACTACTGTCATTGAGCAGTGGCTGCGCTGTGCGGTCTGGCGTCAAACCCGCTGGCCAGCCACTGACGATCCGCGCGCCGCTCTCCAGGGGCCCTGACCTGCCCGCAATACGCGCAGTGCGCTGTTTTATTCCGCGCCGATATTTAATTTATATTCCGCATTAATTACGTGATTCACGTATATTTTACGGTATGTCTCGCATTATAATGCAAATTGATAAATTAATTCCTGTCGGGGCGTCAAAATTTGATCATTACTACCTATGTCGCGCTCGTATTCTATATATTATAATACGGGAGCACTATATAGATAATGCGAGCGAAGTCGATAGCATTGCATCGGTGGATAATTAACGAATAATATTTTAGTGTAACAGTGCGGTTCGCTGCTCTTACACAGAACAATTTGAAATAACACATTAATTTGAAAATAATATTTATGGTAACCCGATTTACTATTGATTCTGTCTTTTACATATTTACGTGAAGGTATTTGCCAAAATATACGCAGAATAAAAGTAAATTTTCGAATATATATATTCAATTCGAAATAAAATTTTAAAACTTAGAAAATGTTAGTTGTTTAAAAAATTAAAAATATTGAAAACGGGTAAAAAATATCGATTTTTCATAAAAGAATGCATTCTATTTATTTTGTTTATCTTAAATTTTGTGTGTGATGGAAAGTAGACACATGTGTACATACTTTTTTGGGAATAGCCATCATAAATATCTGCATGAATATTAATTTCTTAATGATTATTTTCACTCTTGAATGCTAAACGTCCCTTATTGCCAGCCAACAAGAGAAAAAGGATTGTAATTTTAGTATTGTGTTTATGTCTTCCGTAATTACGAAATTTCGAATTGAGGACGCATGTGCTCTGAATTCCCTTGGGAGGTTTTGATCCATAATTTCAATAACAGTTATTACAAAAGAAAGTTCGCTCGAAACGAAAAACAAATGTGTCCCTAATTGAATTTCGTAGTACTCTGTTCGTGGTACATTTTATTTGTTTAGTTTTTAAATAACATTTTTCGTAAATTGCGAAACACATTTTGCATTCTGCGTTGTGTAGGTCTTTTACGTCTGGAAAAAAGCAATACATCAGAAAAATTCTACGGCTATTGACGACCAGTAGATTATTATGTGAGATCTCGAAACATTTCTATTAACGTGTGATCACAATTTGTGAATTAATTAACATTAATGTACTTTATAATATGATAACAATACTCGTATTCATAATTTATGTCAATATTATTTGTACTTAAAAACGAATTTCATTTCTTCTGGGAAAAATGCTATGGCCGCCCACTTCCATTTAAATGATTAATGCAGTTATTACTTACATTCGTTGACATGTTTCTGATCTGGTGGCGCAGGATAAGTGGGCAGAGTGACCAAGTAGCGCTACTTGCACGCTGGGGTACCGAATGGTCGATTGGTTACTGTGTTTCCGGGCTTGACAACTGCTATGAGAATTGAGAGCGCAGGCTTCCGCGGCTGGAGTCAGTATTTACTAGGCTGTCCGGGTGACGCCGCGTCCATGGCGAAGGAGCCCTGAGGAAGGTCGAAACGTCGGCACCTTCGCCATGGACGCGGCGTCACCCGGACAGCCTAGTAAATGCTATGAGAATTCTTCGCATAGATGTAGGGCACGTTGTATCTCGGAAAGTGGCGGTGTTCCTTCTACGATGGAGCGTTTGATTCGGCGCCGACCTAAACGTTGGCTTGCGCGGTTTTCTCCTCCATCTATATTCCTATATTCCACTGCTGCATCTAGAACAACCTCTAAGCTGCCGACTAGTATCTCGTCACGCGTGGTTGCGTAGTCCGTGAAATTTGTAAGTAAGCAGTAGACGGAGGAAGGTGTGCGGTGTGTGTGTGTGTGTGTGTTGTGTGTGTGTGTGAAAGGTAGAGGAGAGGGCGGGGTGACGAAGAAAAAATCGTGGACGGTACGTGACCCATTTCGTAAAGAACTGCACCGCTGTTCGTCTGATATTGCATTGAGAGAAACTACAGTAGCCGAGCGCCAGAATCTCCATCTTAACCTTAGATTCACAGCCTATGTATGCGCATATTTTTAACTCGGAGTACTTTTGAATTCCACTTCAATCGTGACTACAAATATGATTTTTTTAAGGAATAAAAGCAAATAGAATCAATATTATATGAACCACTTATTTCTTTGTATTTTATAATACAACTTACAATATGCCAGAGTAATAGATAAAATATACATTTGCTTACCACCTCATGTTGAAAACCAACTTCATCTCCTCTCGCGTAATCCGTTTCTAAAACTATATTATCTGAGTCGTACTACTTTTTTGTCAACAAAATCATTATCAACATCAGAAAAGTCATCTTCTGCCAATAATATGGAAATATCTTCTCCATCCAAGTCATCAAATTGGTGAATTACTAATTTGGAGGGGAAGGGAGAAAATTTGTCTGAGGGTAAAAATTTTTGAATATTTTGGCATTGATTTTGAGTTTCCTTTCTATAACCCATTCATCAATTTTATCTAGGTGCCTGGGTATTTTATTTCTCGTTATGGATGAATGAATAACTGGATGAATGGGCAGGGGAACAGTCATGAATAACCGGATCCGTATATAATGGTATCGTCAGAAAATCGTCCGATGTTGGTGTTGGGTGCAACTATGTCAGCTACGTAGAGGTTTAAGTGGGATAACGTAGATCCTTGGGAGAGGTCTGCTTGTATAGTTCTGGGGTTTGATGTGTGATTGTCACTGGTAACCGCAAAAGTTCTGTCTAATAGAAAACTAGTTATTGTGTTAAAGAGATATTCGAGAGTGCCTATAGCGTTAATGGTAAGTTCCAATCCCACGATCAGCATTCTGATATTGGCGCCCCATTCTGATAGCGGTTGCGTGTTGAACTGCCTTTGCGTACCATTGTTTAACGATTGTGGTAGATTGGTGATCTGTAATTAGATTATCTGTGTCTTGGCGTACGATTGTTCATTTTATGTTGGATTTTTTTCTTTAGATTTTGAATAGCTGGTTTGGAACTTAAGTAGACTATTTGGTAATAAAAGCATTAACCTGACTGTATTTTTCTGCACATCCTTGGTCTACATTAGTAAGAGTATCGTACATCATGTATCGTCACTATTCTTGAATTCCTATTACAATTCCTTTCGCCAACCTCGTATTTAGTGTTTGAGTGTATAAAATAAAGTGGACGCCGGGCAGATTGATAAAATGTTCGTGAAGCAACCGGGTTTCCAAACCTCTGAACTGGTGTCAGTAATGATGGATTTACCACCTATGCTGGTGGAAAAAAGTAGGGATTGATTTCAATTTATTATGGATTAAAGTGAAAATAAAATATAAACGTAAACATTAAGTTCTTGAATTATTAGCCACGATTAATTGAAATACAGTATTTTGAATAATAGATGCATTTATCAGTTTTATTCGTGTTCTTCCATTTTTTGGTAGTTTATAACGTATCAATATAAGGGTGTCTAGTTCGGATGCCAGAGATCGTTAAGAAAGTAGTACCGTAGGGATTCTCGCAACGAACGATCGCAGGTTCGAGTCCCGCCTCGGGCATGGTTGAATTTGTGTTCATTCTTTCACCCCCTATCATATTATCTTCACAGTTACCATACCGTTAAATGAAATAGTGGTCGCCAATGACCTAGAGTAGAAACAACAGAAACTAAGGGTAAGGGCAAACTAAAAATGTATGTGCTTTGTGGTGACGTGTGTGTGTGCGTGTGTGCGCAGGCATGCCGCAGGACGAAGCCCTGGCGTCCAACGCCAGCACCTACCCCTACTTCGACTTCAACGTGCCCCGGAACGTGACGACGGCTGTGGGGCAGACGGCCTTCCTGCATTGCCGCGTGGAGCAGCTCGGCGACAAGGGGGTGAGTACCGTGTTAGAGCGTAGGCTTCCGCGGCCGGAGTCAGTATTTACTAGGCTGTCCGGGTGACTCCGCGTCCATGGCGAAGGTGCCGACGTTTCGGTTGCCATTCTGCGATCTTCCTTCCAGGGTATTACGCCCTGAGGAAGGTCGCAGAATGGCGACCAAAACGTCGGCACCTTCGCCATGGACGCGGCGTCACCCGGACAGCCTAGTAAATACTGAGTACTGTGTCGCTGACGATGAATTGCATGGAATGAATCTACTGAAAATTCAGGTTATCTTTACAGCGCATGTGGCTATTGAAAGGGTCGGGGCAACACAGGGATAAAACTCATTTTTGTAATTTTTGTTACAACAAAGTTGAAACAAAATGTGTGTAAACAGGCACTTCTCTGTTTGTGCATACATTTCCAGCTGCGCTATTTACACAAAGTAGATTGCAATTTGATCATGCTAGATTTTTGGGATAATCTAACATATTTGTTGGGGTGTATGGAATGAGAGTTATCATCACGTTGACCCGACTCCAACAATTCGTTTGTTTATCTTGGATCGTAATACTCGCATTTCCAAAGACTAGTGAACTCTTCGTATCGGTGATCACTTCGTATAACACAACAAGTATGAAGTTCTTTTCTTTTCTAAATGAAAATTGAAACAAATGTTTCATTTTACATTTTATATTAAAGATGTTGAACGTTTTTGTAATTTTACCTCGTAATACTTGGCAGTATTATTCAAAATGATTTATCATTTATTTCATTTGCTTGGAAAATGAGGCCATTAATAGAGGACGGGTTTATAATTGGTAGTAATGTAGCTCTGGCCTGAATGCAAAACCTTTGGTAACCCTTTCAAACGCTGATCATTTTGGAGTTTCGTATTTTACGTATTGGTATTCCTATTCGTAATTTAGCAAGACAAGGGAACCAATCCTATTGAAATATTTTTTTCATTTGGCTTTTACTTTACAAGTAAATACTATTATTAAATATTATCGATCAAAACATCTACGGCAAAAAAGTATGTTTTGACGATTTCTTAGTTCAAACATTGATTGAACCGTATTCAGCTTTAGGAGTTTTGAAAACCTTGAAAAACATCTCCAAAGAAAATAATTCGTTCATTTTATGTGAAAATTGCAAATAGCATAAATGTTCGCAATTATGAGGGATAACTTTCTAATATCTATAGTATTTAAGAAAACTTCTAAAACACTTTCTTCATACGTTCTTCTACTAGTTTACGTTTATTGAGAGTGGTAAAATATTTGATTCTCAAATCTCGAATGTACTCGTAAAAAAAACAATTGAAGAGTTTCAATGAATAAGCTTCCGTCTAAGGTGAGATAACTTCAGATTTGTCACGACACTCATTTCTGCGAGTCATAAAATTATTCATACAAAAATCGTTATCATAGGTCGTAACTTAATTGGAAAAAGCAACGAAAGATTTTTTTATGCCCGGAATTGAGCAGAACTTTGTATTCGTGTGAGGGACTAGGATTTCTGTAGTTGTGATATTTTATATTTTCAAGTTTATCGCTCACAAGAATTTTAACATGAAAGAGTTATGGTGTAGTTGATTACGAAGATTGTTAACGATCCTTGTACGAGGGCAAAACGCATTACCGTGTATCGGCTATAGAAACAGTTGGTGAACACGCTCCGCTCATGGCCGGGGAACGAGTCGCGCACAACAGCCGGAGTTAAAAGGGAACGGTCGTTGTGAAAGTGGGGCATTCCGATGAATGCCCAGCCAACTACCACGCAAAACCTGGGCTCTCGATGGAGAGCAACGATGTATCGATTTCATCACGGAAACAGTGATCAGTTCCGTGTTAACAATTCAGTGAAGGTGTAACGGTTAGGGTATCGGACATCCAAGTTGGTGGGTTGAAACCTGATCGAAGCAGCGGATTTTTAGGGTGAAAAAAAAATCCTTCAAATGCCTTCCCTCGGAGGGGTAGTAAAGCCGGCTGCCCCATGTTAGTAGATTTACGTGCATGTAAAAGATTCTCAAGCCTAAATGACGCCTGTGAGCTAAATTCAAATCGTCTGTTCGTCGCCCAAGTAATACCTCGTTTCTCAGCTAGTTGGCGAAAGGAGCGTAGCGATATTTGTCTGGTCAGACGGAAGAGCGGACCTGATGGCCCGAGTCTCGCCACGTAAAATAAGGCATCAATTCAATTCCATTCAATGATTCGATAAATGTTAAAAATTGAATGTGATTGAAATTTTTATGACTATTACTATTTCTTCAGTACTTCGCTGGGATGGCTGTTGTTGTGATAGTTCTGCTTTTACTTATGATGTCAACGGGTTATGGCTTCATACAAATAATTCGCAAAGCGCTGGTTGCTAGGTAAGGATGTGAAGGAACGTCTAGAACATTTTATAAATCTACCACCTGGTGTTAAACTCCAAGTAAATCAAATAAGTATATCTGGATCTCGGAAGATACGTATATGGAACGTAATGATGTCAGGCAAAAATATTAGTGCAAAACCTACTTTTTTCTCTGTATAGGATGCATTCTCAAGGTTACTTGAGTAATTTCTTTAAACGACAATGAAATTTAAAAAAAATTGCTTTTGTAGTTTTTCAATATGGGTATTTTGAATAATATTGTTGTTAAAATCTTGAGAGACATAATTAACTCCAAAAGCTAGAGAATGAAATCATACATTGGAATATATATTTTGTTTCACATTTTTTAGAAATGTTCTCACGTTGTGCTATGACCAAACTAAACCACGAAGAGAAACGAAAATTCCACATGAGAAGCAAATCAATAACTCTTTCCAATTTCAAGTTTTTAGTACACCTAGGAGCCCCACTCGTCTGTGAAGTATACCTTTCCCTTTGTCACCAGATTTGTACTTCTCTAGCAGTCCCGTCTCCTTTTCTTGCCTCGCTGCGCATTGGTTTTGATTCCCCTGTTCGTGACACGTGCAGTCCTTTGATTTTTAGCAACTCGAAGTCTTGTGGGGAATTTTACACTCGCGTGCACCCGTCACGGGGCTCGGCGAGCGCCTCTTCCGCAGCGAATCTACGTGGAATATTTCCGCGCTCCCGCAACGGCGACGGCGAGGCCGCTCATGGTCTTCGACATCCGTTTCGCCGCTGTTTCGAGATCGCGTCTGAGGCGCAAGGAATCGCGACGCGAAAACCATCTGGGCAAGCCGCGCTGAACAAAGTGTGACGCGAAATTGGAATGGACCGGCGCTCATTGATAGGAGGGTGGAACGAAATGAAATACACGTTGTGGTGCGTACAAGTTTAAAACCAGTGGTTCCCAACAGAATCCGTTTCGACCCCAAACGGTCGATGGAAATTTAAAGAGGGATCTATAATGCTGAAGGGATCGATTAGGGTCGATAACCGAATATGCATCGACAAATGATCTGTGTAATCAAGACTCTCTTGATTATAAAAAAATATATTTATTAATGGTTTTCTTATATACAGGATCAGAACACCTAATAATTCTTGTTTATAATTCTACGAGTAAAAATTGAAAATTTTAATAATTGCCATCTTGCCCCCCCCCCCAGATATGAATTTAAAAAGTAACAAAAAATTAAACATAAATTTAGGAAACCTTTTATTCTTAAAAATTAATGTTCGTATTCTATATGTAATTGTTATCAAGTCATTTATGTGCAACTATTTGTGCTTTGTTTATGATGCTGTATCATATAGAAAAATGTCAAGAGGGTTGATGAAGCGAATTTTTCTTTCGAAAGGTTTTGATTTAAAGAAACGGTTGAAAATTCCTGGTTTAAACGAAATAGTTCATAAAATATTTGCCTTCAGGTAAACAAGAATTAGGAGAAAGGGCAATAGTAATACGAGAATAGATGAGTCTGGCAGGGTATTCAAGATATAATCAGAGAAGTTACACTTGTTGACTTTTGTGATGAAAACGAATGTTAGAAAGAAAATCAGCTCAGGATAAAGATAATTAAATATCTAGAACACCAGTTATAAACAATCAAGAGTGAAATATAACATGAAGAATCTCAGGGTTTTGAAAAGTTATTGAAAAATGGCCGTAGAAGAGAAGGCAAAATATTTAATTTCATTTGGGATCGATTTTCTCGTCGTGTAATAAAATACTTACTTCACAACCGCAGTATATTTGTGACCAAATTGTCTTAACGACAATGAGTAGGTACGTACTTACAAATGCAGTAGCATTTGCACCGTTACTGAAAACGAATATGTGTGTTTCATGTGTGTATTTGTGTTTCATAATCATGTTCTCAACTCCAACTTGATTATGACAAATATTTCACAATGATTAATTGTTTTAGAGCTATGTTTCAATTTATAATTTTATCGTCAGCAGCAACTACAATAATTTCTCGTTGTTTGTAAACTATCTTGCCCTTTAATCAAAATGTTTTAGTTTTTTGCCAAATCTTTTTGAATTGTGAGATTTCAGGTGAATATGTGTTTTTGTTCTTTTTTTAGAATTCTGACACGCTCCAAATTTACTAGTACTTTTGAATCTCTTATTTATTTTTGTTACTTCTAGTCTTTCTTTTAATATTGATTGAGCTGTGATCGCATAAGTAGTACTTAGGAATATACTTCTATCTTTTGGAAATAATCACCAAATATACAGTTTTCATCAAAATTTTAATTATTAGTTCTTTCCCCTTTCCTTCCTATCTTCATTTTTTCCTTTCATATCTGTTTTCTTTTTATACTTTCCACTTTATGTTCTCTTTCAATTCTTTTTTCTTCCACTTTCCCTTTTCCTCTCTTCTTTTATACATAAACTCTACACAGCGTTTGTCTCGATCTTACACTCTGTGGTTTCACCCAGTCTCACACTGTCAGTTATGGCCAGCTGCCCCCCACTCTGGTTTCGTCAGATCCACTCTTCTCTGTTTTCGCCCTGCCTCACCCTGTCGGAGTCGGCCCACTCCCGTCCTCTCTCCCTACGGCGTCTGCCGGTGCTCGAGGCGCGGGGCGCGGGCAGGGCGCCGG